ATGTCTGACCCGACCTGACCTTATCAGGTCGGGTCAAGTCAATTACCCGACCCGACCCGACCTGTTCGGAGCTCTACACAAATCACATAATTACCTTATAATACTCCTTTATGACTTCATGCCAATAATTTGGTAATACTGCACTCCTTTTTGGTCGTAGAAAAAGTAGCTTGTGTACTCTTCAGTTAAAAATTTTGCAAAACCGCCATCACTTCTGATGTCTATGACATCATCATTAGTGCAACTATATATTGAGAAGATATTAGTAAAGCTTTATATAGTATGGTACACCTCCTTAAAATAAATACTGTACTTACGAGTACACATTATTTTTTTCACAATCTTTGTATTCTTCGAAGAGTGGAATGAATTCTTTGAAATACTATTTAATGAAAACTATTGAGTATTTGTCACATGCACTAACAAAGCAATGTCATACCTTAATCTCATCTAAGCCCGTTAAATTCTCAGAAGAAGCTCTAAGGATGCTTTCATGGATTTCACTGGTTGAGGATTGAGCGAAGAAAGTGTTTCTGGTAATTTTATGAGGAGGTGTTTGAGTTCCTTTTGCACAATAAACAGGAATAGCCAAAAGTTATTGATTAAATGTCTGAATAAGCACCAAAAAATCCTTCTTACCATCTTTCGTATCATTTCTACCTAACAAGCTGGAATTGGAGAATTCTTCATTATCATCATCGATCCTATAATCAACATGGTCTCCGTCATCCTTAGATTCATCATCAGATGATTTATCATTGGGAGAGAATTGGTCTTGGGTAGAGACAGTTGACGATTTTTCATCTGATAACAATAAATGATCATTTTTGATATTATCATTGTTATCACTTTCCTGTTCGTATTGCAAAGAGTAATCAGTTAGTGGCCAAACTTGAATAATAACCCAGCAACAATAAAATCTCACCTTAAACGTTTTGGTACGCTTTACTGTCCTTTCTTTTTCATCAAGAAACTTCTTCGAGATCTTGGTAGTTATTGACTTAGTATATTGTTGAATTTGTCCTGTTGTTGCTGTAGCAATGGTTACATATTGGTCCGCCTGTGTATTGTAAATGGGATCAAGAGTGAATGAATGTTTTGGCCTAGCATATTAAGTAATGAGGAGAATGAGTGAAGTACCTGCAACTTCCGAACCTTCGCCTTTGCCTTGTTCTCTTGCATATTGGTTTTATTCTCAATCAATGCATTCTTCATCACAATATTTTGCCTTTCATTTTGAAGTTTCCAAAAATGATTTATTACCGTTGACTGTTTACTTTTCTAACAGTGATAATAGGACAGAAGTTCTAAGTAATTTGCCTAATAGATTTTGTTCGATAACCATTCCACCTATGCAAGCAAGGATAGGAGACATCATGAAAAAGCAAACACACAGATTGTACATTCATCTTTTGCGAGCACCATGGATCCCTAAGTCTATTGAGTATAGCTCACCAACAGACACACAGTTATTCTCATTACAAGAACGCATATTGCAGGGTAGTTGGTGTACTCAATAATACATAGAGTTTCAAGGTGTTTCATGGAGTATAGCTCATCAACAGACACGCAGTTGTTCCTATTACAAGAGCACGGGTTGCAGGGTAGTTGATGTACTCATGCTCCTGAGTCAGAAATAATACACTTTACTTGCCTTAAAAGCATTTTTCCACCTTATCACTTCCTGTTCAGGTTCAGATACTTCAGCATAAAATTTGCCAATTGTATCTAATTCTTGCTTGTACCGATAGTACTCAGTTTACTTATCTTCTAAGTTACCAGCCAAAAGTCAAAAATCTAAAAATTTCTTAAGCGAAGGCTCTTTCGTGTCAAGCCACAAAAAAAATCAATCTGCAGTCTAGAGTGAAAAATAATTATTATGCTATAAGAGTTGACTATTAGTTTTACTCTTATATTGAAGTTATAGTATGCGTATCTCAAAACCTTTATTTATCAACTCAACAAATTCATCGGTCAGAATTGTTGTAAAAAAGCACCAAATATCTACTTTCAGATCGATATACTGCGCATTGTATCTCTACATGTGACAAAAATCTGGTGACAGAAATTAATACTGCATTTAGACATATGATAGCGATCAAAGATTTTTTTATCATAAAGCTGGGAAAAAAAATGATTAGTATCGTGATGATGATTTTCTAGAATCAAGCCAAGAAATCAAACAAACTAACTTTGCTATTACTTTGTGAATATACTCGTTTGATTGATTGTTGATATTGTTGATGTTAATAATGATAAGTGTGAATATTTCTTTTGATTTTTTTCCTGCATTACTTGCATAAGGCAGATAAAAGGATTCACTAATTAAGGCCTCACCTTTTTATATAATTTGTAGTGGGTTTAAGAATTGATTTTCAGAATAAATCTTCAAGGAAAATGACATTATTATGATTTATCATGAAAATCAGATCAACAGATACTCTTTAAATTATAATAGACACTGGGATCGTGTCTCTGGATCAACAAGAGGTTTTTTTAATTATCAAATATATGCAAAGCTTGAGTATATACAGGAAATTTTGAGAATAATAGTGCAATGATTTGCTCTCATGAAACATGGTGATCTATCCTAATGATACTGCGCATTTATCAAAATTTTATCCCCAGATGAAAAACTGATCGAGAAATATTAGCATACAAACACAATCCCACGCTATTCTCAACACATACCAGATATATGTAAATATATTGTGCTTAATGTGCCTTAGTTTTATTGATTGTAAACAAAAAAATACATATTTTTTTCATACTGCGGAATAATGTCAACAATGCCATCATATAGCTATGACTATGAACTTGAGTTCATTGCTTGAAGTGTTGCAGGTAAGATAATATTCCGTTTCATTTCTATACCATTCACCATATAATCCATAATTTCCATGTTTTCCATTGCAAATAGGGCATGGTGAGCTCCACTGCTGAGGTGATGCAAAATTAAAATTATTAATCCCTCTGAAACTATTTCAGAATTTCAGGTATGTGAAATGCTTTAAGACAGACTTGATAATTAACTCTGAATCAGGTTTGGCTTCAAAAGTGATAGGTCCTTTTTCTTCACATTGCTTAGAAAAAGATAAATAGGATGCTTTGTTTTCTGGCTTCAAATTTATGAGAAGGCTGGTTTCTGATACATACGCTTTTGATAGTTGCCATAGCTCATATCCAGTTTCTTTTTTATATCTTTTGTATAAATTGGAACAAATCTTATCTGTCAAAATGCTTGGTAACCTACTTAATTTGGCATGCTAATCCAGATATTCAGAAGTTAATATTTTATCAACTTGGTCATGTTGCTTTTTATATGAATCAATTTAAATTTATTAGATAGTAATTGACTTGTAAAAAAATATCACATAATGAAATATGAGTAAATATAGTATTATGCAATGCACTTCTGGTCAAAGTGATCAGACTATGCAGTTATCTCAATTTCGCGCTGTTTAATTTAATAAAATAAGATCTAATCTTATATCTACCTTCTATACTTTCTTCATCATTATGATCTAACTTGTATAATAGGCACGATGTCTCATCAGTAATGCCATAATAATCGAAATTTTTACTACTAAATTCTTTATATAAATTAGGATATTGATCCAATGTTTTGTTGTGAAAATAGGTGCAGTCATAAGTTAGTTTAGATTGAGATTCTGATAATATATTTGCTGATGTATTTACCTCAACTTTAATCTGATCGTTCCCCAAAGGAACAGTTTTTAAAGTCACATGACTCTGATGAATACTAGTATATTTTTTTACTTAATCTATGACATTTTGGATTGTATATTAGTTAGTTTCGAAATCTCAGTTACGCTATATGAGATCAACTTAATTTTATCTATTCCAACTCCATTTTTTCCAAATAATATGAGATGTTTTCTAGCCTTATAAGTTTTTTTGCGCAAGTTAGCTTGTATGATTTTAGTAGAAAGAAATTGTTTCATTTCCTTATAAATCATTGATCTTGCCGTTTTATTCTTAATTCTACCATCAGCCATAAGAGCATCTACCTTGCTCTCAAATTCAATGGAATAATTGTGCCAAACTAATATTTTCTGCTAACTGGATTTTATTGCTATTTCAAATAAATAAGATAAGTGCTAGGCAGAACCTGAAACCATATTTTCTAAACTAACGTAAGGGCTAGTGATGTTGGTAGAGTTGACATTATATTCAGGTAATATGGATGAACATAATTAATGTATTAAGCCTTATTCTACAATATGATTTTCATCAAGCGATTCCTCTGGAATCATGTCATCATCTTATTCTACAGATACTTCAGTTTTCAAAATCACATGACTTTGATCATTTCCTAAGGGAACAGTTTTTGTATTACATGATGAGTTAGAAATAATTGAGACTTGAGCAATCGATTCATAATATAGTTTTTCCTCCCACTTTCTCTCTCTAATCTCATCACTTATCTTTTTCTTATATATCTTATTCAAGAAACCATCAGTTTTCTTATCTTCCAATGATTCGGTATTAGCATTATTACTAGGTGCGTCACCAGAGGTAACTACTTGTCCTACTTTATTATTTAGCTGGTCTATTGCAGAATCAAATACCTGAATATTGCCAAAAGATGCTTCACTAGTATTTGAATTTATTGTGTTAGTGTTCGAATCTATAGTATTATTGTTCTGCCCATTTTCTGAAACCATTTCCTTAGAAATATTATCTGTTTAAAGGAAGGTTAACTTTTTGTTCTCTTCATTATTATCCTTTAGTTTCACTATTTCAGCCTTAATCTCAGTAATCTCAACATCATGCCTAACATTCTCAGCTGAAGAATCTGCCTTATTTTTCTCCAATTCTTCGATTCTGATCTTGAGCTCAGCATTCTCAACATCAAATCTCTTGTTTTCTTCTACATCCTGTTTTAGAAGTTCAGCAATCCTGGCCTTAAGTTCAACTCTCTCAGCCTCAATCTCAGTGAACTTCCTTCTAAGTTTAGGAATCTCAGTATTCATATCCTTAAGCTCATCATTTTTGATCTTAATCTCAGCAAACTTCTTCCTAAGTTCGCCAATATCAGCTAAAAGCTTGGAATTTAATTTCCTTAATGAATCATTAGATTGAGTGTTTGATATCAATAAAATTTATATAAGAATGAAAATATTCAAAAGTTCATTAGTATATATAGAAACAGTCAAGTAAAATTTATAGGTTACTTTGGCTGATCGTTTCCTAAGGAAACAGTTTTTGCCAAGAAAATTTACGTGACTTTGGGAGAATATCTTTTAGAAAATGATTATTTGTTCACACATTTCAGGACCTTTATTTTCAGCATCATTAAGTAAATCTACCATTATTTCCATAGTTGACAGTTAGTATAATATTACAACTGATTCATAGCTTAACTATCCTTTTTTACCTTGTCTATTAGAATGAATAAAATTAGTTATGCGAGTATCTATTTATTTCTATAATATTCTGCTTTGAAGACGAGTCCATTTTGACTGGAAATATCATGAAATGCCTTCATACTAAAGAGTTCTCTCATTAAGGAGTGATATGCTTTTTCTCTTAAATCATCGTATTGGTTTTTGAGCTTAATTAAAAGATTAATAAAGTTATTAATCCAAAGGCATATTTTTTCGATCATATGATAATACTTCGTAAACTTCATTAATTACTAAATCTTGACAAATAAGTTCTCATAATTCTGTATTCGTTACTGTTACACTTTTAGGCTGAGTCTTATTAGCTGATGTTGAAGTTACTGATGGAATAGATTGAATATATCTTTTATTCTTTTTATGAACCATAATCTTGACTTTAGAAGAGTGAATTTAAAATCTTGAAGAAAAAAATAAAAAAACAGATACTGTGCATAGATCAGCAAATTCTTCTAAGCTAGTGATCACCGCTCTGTAATGATGATCTGTATTCCAGACTCAAAATTTTCTACATTAAATATATTACTTTATTATAGCAATCATGGCAAATAATTCCAAAACGCTTAATCAATTATATGAAGTGCTATTATATAAAAAGAAGAATATAATAGCTATTCAGGAAAACTCAGTATTAGTGGTAATGCAAATCAGATGGTAAACATTAAAGCAAAAAGGCAGAAAACACTTGCTGATTCATATGAGCTGTTGTTAGAATTAGTAAGGGATTTAATGCCGATACAAGAGAAGATAGTAATCCTGTTCTAGAAGTAGAATATCAAAGTAATGAGGCTTCTGCAGATATTTTATTAAAGGAGATATTTAATTTACTTATATATTTAAAAGAGGATATAATAGCAATTCAGAAATAACTCAATATTATTGGCTACACTAATCAAGAAATGGCAGAAGAGGCCGATAAAACTGTAAGAGAATATCTTTGAAAGTTTGAGGAATACCATGGCCTCTTAGAAGATATTCCAAGTGTAATATTAGAGAAATATTCATCAAAAATCCATCTAGTACCAGCCAGTGCCAATGTCTAGAATAGGTTAGCTAATTTATATTTTTTTTTTACACAGGACATATCTAGATGC